CTATGATCGAAAAGAAAAAAAAGTGGTACATATATGTCCCACCGTCCGTGAAAGGGTTAATATTATTTCGAAATATATTTACATTTGAACTTGATGGTACATTATTTAATGTTCCAGATAGACCATTATTTGTTGTACTTCTCATCATACTTGTCATTGAATTACTTTTTGGAAGACCTGATTCAAATAAATCATAGGATGATGGTGTATCGATTGGACTAATCATCGATGAACGTGATTCTTGATCGATCATTCTTCGTTGTTGAATTTGTTTTGAAAAATCATTTGTATGATGACTTTCATTTGTTGATATAGCCGATGTGGGTCGTGAAAATTTTTTTAAAATTTCATTGGCATCACTATTATTTAAAGAACGATATTGATTTGTATCTGTTGGGGTAGCTAACAATTAAAATAATAATTAAGTATTAATTAAATTAAAATTTACCAGTATTTATTCGTTGAGTATATGTAAGTAATTCATCTGTTAAATTATTTTTTGGTCGTTGTACTTGAGTATTCGTATTATTATTATTATTATTATTACTTAACCAATTTTGTCTTGGTTCAGCTATTTGAAAATCTGGTTGATCTCGGCGAATACGCGATGAATTTGTTGATTGTTGTTGTTGTTGTTGTGATGGTGAATGATTCGTTGATTTTTTATTTGATATAATTTCATTATTAACAAGTTGACAAACAGTTTGCATCATTGTTTGTAACATTGACATTTGATTTTCCATTTTTTGTTGAAAATCTAATTGTGCTTTAATTACAACTGAAAGTTGATCTTTAAGAGTCTGTGTTTCTTGATTTGGTTGATTTTTCGAACCAAGAGCACACTTAAAATAATAGAAATAAAATCAAATCTCTAATAATAATTTTCCATTACTTGTTTAACATGACCTGTAAGTGAAATAAGTGCTGTAACAAGAGCTGTACTACATGTATTCGATTGATTATTTAATGATGAAGTATTTTTATCTGATTTAAAACCAGTTATCATTTCTAAATCATTTAATTCCGATGATAAACGATCAAGTAACTAAATAAATTCTTTTTCTATTCTGAAAAAAATATTTTCTATTAGAATTATTTACTTGTTTAAGTTGATTTGCTGATGGATTACTAGTTGATTCAATTCCAATAGTTTTACCACCAATTTTTGATGTATCAGACATAAATGAAACATTATTAGCTGGACGAGTTCCGCTCGATTGTGGACGAGATTGTGAATAAAGATTTGAATTACGATTTATTGTATGTAATGATGATGCATGTTGATGATCAGATTTTTTATGTGAATGATTTAAACGTACAGGTTCATTTTCATATTCATCTTCGTCATGTTCACCACCACCACCATCAGCTGAACTAACTGATATATTATCTAAATTTAAAATATAATATTAAATCATTTTTAAGTATTAAATAAATACCTTCTTCAGATTGATTCCAATCGACACCACCTGGTGAATTTAAATTTCTTATTGATGATTGTCTATGAAATTAAGGACATTCAATAAAAATTAAATGATTAATAATTCATACTTTGTTGTTGTTGATGACGCTGATGTTTTTCTTGTGCGACTATTATCAGTTAAACTTGTAAAATGATTTTTTCCACTACGTAACTTTACAAAAAAAATATTCATTTTAAAAACAAAGTTTTATTTCTTACGACACTACTTTTCGGAACAAATTTTTCCGATCGACTCGATTGTAAAACACTTGTTGATTTTTGCATTAAATCATCAATCTAAATAAATTCTTTTTTTGTTATTTAGTTTATATTTTGTTTTATTTACATCTCGTTCATTAAATAATATTTCACGTAAAATACCCAATTGATTACTGTTTGTTTTTCTTGCATCATGAACCGCTAGAAATAAAATATTAGATGAAATAAAAAAATAAACAAACAAATTACCTTTTGCTAAAAGTTTTCGTTGTTTATCTTCTTGCATTAATTGTAAATTACGTGATTGATAAGATTGTTTACGTCGTGACTAAAATAAATTCATTGATTATAGAAAAACAAAAAAATAATTAAAATTATTTACAGCTTCATCATCACTTAATCGATGTTGAGAAAGATCACCAATGGATGACTAAAATAAACTTGTAGAAAAATTTTGATAATAATAAAAAGAACTATTTCATACATCCCAATCTCGTTTTTTTAAAGTCGTTTTCTTTTGTGGACGACGTATATTTGTATTTGTTTTCGACATCATGTTGTTTACGTAAAAGTTAATAAATATGAATTATAAACTTAAGACAAGAAATTGAACCATTAGAAATGTATTCCTATGACAACTAGCGTTTGTTCCCCTTCGTTGATGCCATGAACGTAGCGTCATCTATTTATGTCAAATTGCCTAGCAACGATATATATATATGTATTTTTTTTATAACACACAGATGAATTGTTACCGCAAGGTTGATAATCGTCGTTAATCAAATCTATCAATATGTTGAAAGCAGGTTCATTACCTTCACCGGTAATTAATGCATTATCATCGAATATCACTTCATCGAAAAATAAAATTGATTCACAAACTTTCATTGAACTTCGATCTGGTTTGTTTAAAACAAAAATTATTTTAATAATAAATGAATTATTTTTCTTTGTTAGATATTCCACATATAAGAATATATTTTAGTGTGGATGGTACAAAACCTGATCCATTTCAAGTATTTAAAACTGGTCATGTATCGACATTTCTTTATCGCGGAGCATTTCGTCTTGGACCAGGACGACGTGTTGTAAAAGCAATTGCTGTTACTACGTAATTAATAATTCATAGTTATTAATTCATATTTTCTTATTATGTATTTTTTTATAGTGATGGATTACGTGAAAGTAGTATAACAACAAAATATTTCGATGTTAATGATATGTACTCAGAACCATATCCAGATGAATATGCAGATCAAGAACAATCATTTCATCAAATAGAGAAAAGCCCAGTAAGTCTTCTGTTTAGTTTTAATAAAAAATTATTTGTATTTATATCATATAGGAACGAACTCCTCCTAATAATAAAAAGAAAAAACCACGTACTAATACTGATCCACGTCGGTCAATGTCCGCTAATCAATTAAAAAATGATATGGAACGAACACCATATGATGATGGTTATAATGTTCAAGGTTCTATTGAAGGTCCCATTTCACCTGTTAATTATGCTGGCACACAAATTAATATCTGGGGTACACCTGGAGGAAATTTAACTGATGGTTTAATGCATATTGCTGATCCACATAGAAATCCTAATTATGGATATATGACTGAACAAATGCTTGAAGTAAGTTTTGAATAGATCTTTCATTTTGATTTTTATTATTATGATTTCACTTATAGCGTTTACAACCATCAAAGAATGTACCACAAATAACTGATGTTACTCAAGAAGAAGATTTTTGGGATCGAAAACCTAAACCATTTAGTCCAGGCAATGGAAATTGGAAGAAAACTCTTGAACATCTGTTTTTAAACATCTATAATTATGTTAAAGATGAACAAGAACTACAAGAACTATTTGGTTGGAAGAAATTTGGACGTGTATTTAGAATTGATTATTTTCTCTTTGAAAAATTTCATATTTTTTTTTTCTTTCTTAGATTGAAACAGCTCGTCTTATTGATAAAGGTAGTGTTTATCAAATAGTAACTACATTTAAAAAACCTCTCGGTGAACAAACAACTTATGAAGAACCACCTCCACGTAAGCCAGTTCCAAAAAAACGACCACCAAAACGTACTCGAACACCACCTGATAATGAAGACAGACCATATCGACCCGTTCAAGTAACACCACCACCATCTCCGCCACCTGAGCATCACGACGAACCAGCACATACAGAAGATAAAGAACATGAAGAACATACGCCACGTATTTATACAGAAGAAACTGTGGTAAGAAAAACATTTTCTGTCTTGTTTTTTTTTTAAATTTCTTTTTATTTTATCAAAATAGCAACAAGGAACACTTGTACCATTTGCTGATTTTAATGTCGAACGAGGTAAAATAAATTAGTTTAAAGAACAATTAAATAGTCTTTAAATATTATTTCGTATATAGATTGTGATAATCTTCGTAAAGCAATGAAAGGTTTTGGAACAGATGAAGATATGCTTATTCATATTCTTGGTAATCGTAGTAGTGATCAACGAGTAAAAATTCGTGATCAATATAAATCAATGTTTGGTCGAGTAAGACATATATCTACAATTGAATTTTTAGTTTTACTTAAAATAAAATTTATTTTTAGGATTTAAAAGATGATATCAAAGGTGATACATCAGGAAATTTTGAAAAAATATTGAAAAATCTTTTATATTCACCTGTTGAATATGATTGTCATGAATTACGACGAGCTATTAAAGGAGCTGGCACAGATGAAGAAGCATTGATTGAAATTTTAACTAGTCGGTCAAGTAAACGTATAAAAGATATTAATGATCAATATCAGACATGTAAGAATTTTATTTGAACAAGAATTATTATATTTCATATTTTTAAATAGTATTTAATCGAACACTTGAAAAAGATATTGTTGGTGATACAAGTGGACATTTAAAAAAAATATTAGTTGCATTAGTACAAGGACATCGACCAGAAACAAATGAAGTCAATGAAGATGAAGCAGAAAATGATGCAAAAGCTTTATATGAAGGTGGTGAAAAGAAATGGGGTACGGATGAATCGAAATTTGTTGAAATTCTTTCGAATCGAAGGTTAACTATTTAATTTCAATTATTATTAATTCTTAACTCTTCTTGTTTTATTAGTAATGCACAATTGAAAGCTGTTTTTAACGCTTATGGACATTTCAGTAAGAAAGATATTGAAGCAGCAATTAAATCAGAAACAAGTGGTAACCTATGTAAAGCTTTATTAGCTATTGGTACGTATAAAGTGATATAAATAATATATCGAAATTAATTATTTAATTCTCTTAATTTTCTTTTAGTTCGAGTAATGCGTGGTCGACCTGCATTTTTCGCTCAACAACTCAAAAAAGCATTGAAGGTATATTTTGATTTATACAACATGGTCACAGTAGAGAAAAATATATGTATTTTATTATTTTAGGGTATTGGTACTGATGAAGATGAATTAAATCGTGTTGTTATATCACGTTGTGAAGTTGATATGATTCAAATCAAAGAAGAATATGAGAATATTATGAAACGTACATTAGAAAAACATGTTGAAGTATGTAAAAGTTATAAAATATTTTCATCGTATATTTAACAAAATATTTCAGAGTGATACAAGTAGTCATTATCGAAAAATTCTTCTTGAATTATTAAAAGATCCAAGTCAACGAACTCAAAAAGCTGGCAATGGTAATCTAATACATCAGTTTTTTTGTATTTGTCAACTAATGACTACTTTTCTAATATAGCGAAATTTGAAAATGTTGAATTACCTGGTTATGAACAACCTGCTGTTTATAAAGAAGATCTTATTGTAAATAGTTCTTTACTTTTCTTTTGTATCTTTTATTTGAAAATATCTTTCTTAGCAACAAGGAACTATGCCAGCAGCACCAAATTTTGATGCTGGCCGTGATGCTGATGCTTTACGAAAAGCAATGAAAGGATTTGGTACAGATGAAAAAGTTTTAATTAGTATATTAGGTAATCGAAATACTGCTCAACGAATGCAAATTAAAGCTGCATTTAAAGATAAATTGGGGCGTGTAAGTGATCGTTTCTTTCTTTCTATTGATTCATAATTGAAATGTATAGGATTTAATTTCTGATCTGAAATCTGAAACATCGGGTAATTTTTCAAAATTACTTGAACGTTTGATGATGGATCCAGTTGAACTTGATTGTTTTGAATTAAAACAAGCTGTTAAAGGATTAGGTACAGATGAAGAAACCTTAATTGAAATATTAGCCAGTCGTAGTAATGAACGAATAAAAGCAATTACTGAATCATATCAAAAGTGTTAGTTGAAATATTTTTATTTCGATTTAAAATAATTTTTTTATCTTCTATTAAGTATATGGAAAACCCTTGGAAAAAGATGTTAAATCAGATACAAGTGGAGATTTTCGTCGTTTACTTGTTTCACTTATGCAAGGAAATCGACCAGAAACAACAGAAGTTGATGTTGAAAAAGCAAAACAAGATGCACAAGAAATCATTGATGCTGGTCCAGCAAAATTTGGTACAGATGAAGCTAAATTTAATGTCTTATTTTGTAATCGTAGTGATTCACAATTACGAGCAATTTTTAATGAATTTGCTAAATTAACTGGCAAATCAATTGGTAAAACAAAACAAATTTCTAATGATTATTTATTATATTATTTTGTTTTATTAGAGGAAATAGTAACAAGTGAAACAAGTGGTGATCTTCGAAAAGGTATTTTAGCTATTATTCGAAGTGTACGAAGTCGTCCAGTGTTTTTTGCTGAACAATTACGTACAGCTATGAAGGTATGATAAATTTTTATTGATATTTCTTCTTGTTTTTTTCTAAATATTTATTATAATAATATAGGGTGCTGGTACGAAAGAATCAACATTAAATCGAATATTAATAACACGTTCAGAAGTTGATCTTGTTCAAATTAAAGAAGCATTTAAACGTCTTATCAATCGAGACTTAGAACGTGATGTTGGCTCAGAAACAAGTGGAGATTATAAAAAATTACTTCTGGAGATACTAAAAGATCCATCACAACGTTAATTGACAAATAATCCTCTTCTTAATTGACATAGAAACACTTTTCCATTGTAGCAATGAATAAAAAGTTTATTATGTTGTGCATAAAAAAATATATATATAAATTTTAATATTAATATCTATTAATATATGTATATTAAAATACTATAAGTTGATTAGTAGAGATAGCAGATCGCTATGTTTACTTGTTCTGAAGAAAATAATAAAAGAAATTCAACTATAATTATAACAGTACCATTTTTAATTATTTGCTTTGTTTCTGAAGATTTTCGTGAAAATGTGATTATAGAGACTGTGACATTGAGTAATTGATTAATGAAAATCATTCGAAAAGATGCGTGTGATTCTAAACTATCGTGATCATTGAAAATCTTATTATATTCTTCAGATCTCAAGAGCGTTTATTACATTGAAAAATATTTTAAATTATCGTGGCAAATATTGATTCACTAATGTCTCTTTTCCTATAACAATTTATTGTACAATTGAACTTGACAGAAAGCAATTCGTTTGTTGAAGTAGTTTTATAAGAACGAATGAATTCATGTTAAAAGTGTAACATATGGATGATACATTTTACTCTTTATTTTTCTTTGATTAATTCGAAAAAAATGATAGAATAGCGATTTTACAATCGATTTTTTTATTGTCTCATTGATATACATAAATTAATTTGAATATTTTAATTTGTTTTAGTATGGATCAAAAACGATATTGCAATCACAACGTTTTTGTATTCAACACGTTAGACACACACATACCATATATGCTAATAAATACGAATTTGAGATGATTAACATCTAAAATTTCATCTATACTACCAGTATTCATATTTCAAGCATCGTTGAATATTATAATTATGAATGAACTATACAAATTTATTTTTATAATATTTAATTATTTTCTATCAAGAGAGTAAAAATTCATTTGTAGCACAACATTGAAAAGCTTTTATCGACTTAACAAAAAGAATTCTTTGAGCTATAATTACAATTTGCATATTATAATTATATAAGACAACTTTTTCGACTTTGTTCTTTTTTTCCTGATTGGATTTTATGCATTCTAATGGACAATCTCTATCAAACAAAAATCATAAATACGTAGTATCATATTGTAGTTATATCGTAATTAATCATTCGATAATGAATCGAATTAATTTGATTTGAAATATGTATAACTACATTTATACAATGCTAGAAGTTCATGTGTGTGTAAGCAATAGTTAAACTAACATTATCACCAGCTTTTTTGTTGTATTCGATCAGATGAAGATATGAGGCTCTACAGTAGAAAAAAAAGCATGCAAAGGACGATTCATAGCTCTTAATAATAATAATAAATAAAATTCTTCAAATGCATCACTTTTATTAGGTAAATTATTCAAAAATGAAAAAATTCTTGAGGGTGGATGTAGATGTGTCTCTTCTATTAACTCACACTCTCACACACCCAAGCAAAGACTCTTGTTTTTCAATGAAAATTTTAGAAAACTCTGTTGAAATTTGTTTGAAGAAGTGTACTTGTGAAGATAAAAATCTTTCCTGATCGTGATTATATGAAAGACTGCGAATAAAGAATTCTTGATTATAAAAGTTATTTAACAAACTTATAAATAAATTCATCAAGCATAGTAATAGTATCACAGACTGTTAGATGAAACTTGTTGATTTCGTTCAATAATGAACGTTGTTGATAATGAACTAGTTGTCAGTGACAAACAAATGTGCGTCATCTTTAGTCCTCTTACGTTCATTGACTAAAATAAACTGGTCAATAGCCAATCTTCCTCTGTTTCTGTTCTGTTGAACTTTTCTTGGTGAATTATTTGATAGATTGTTTTGCCAATCTATATAGAATTTTTTAGAACGAACAAAGTGTAAGATAAATTTATTTTTAGATTTTAATTTTAATTCAATACTGTGTGAACATCAAAATTTAAGAGAATACAGGTAGTCGTGTTGTGTTATATGGTTGTTCTTGCTAATTCAATTAGTAATTTTTTTTTGATCTTTTTTGGTATACCATATTTGTTTTGTATTACACAATCAGCTTAGCAATAATTGTGACGCATTGATATCCAGATGGCCAAAAAGAATATTGGGATCAAAATGTGGCTCGTCGTATTGTAACCATCTGGATAACAACAGCATATCTAGTTTTTTGTTGTATTACGTTGTGGGATTGTAATTTGGTGGCTCATTCAAAGAGAATTTATGCACTTAAAGTAATAGTTCAACATTATATGCTAAGATTACGTATTTTTTTAGTATTCTTCCATAAGACTTTGTTATTTTACCATTGTAGCAACAATTTACTGCTGGACAGTAAATATAATTAAAGAAAACAATAATACAAATGGAATCTTACTTCAATTTGTAAGTAGACGTAATAGTTATCTGATTTTACTAATGTTGAACGTTCATAGTTTGCTGTAGAAAAAGAAAGAAAACAATGCCTGTATACAAAATAAGACATTGTCAATCATCAGAGAAAGAGATTGGCGTAGTGCCTTCGTAGAGTTATCTATTATTTGCACTTCAGTAATGATCTTGTAGCTTACGCCCTTAATGAAAAATCGCTCGAAGATCGTTGCAAAGTTTATTGGGAAAAATATTTTGAAGTCTTGGCTGATACAACGGATGGTAGACTGATTTTTGAATCAGCTAACGTGAACTTCTTCTGTGAGCAGTGCGTGTGGATGTGAGTGTTGGAAATTATTGATGCACACCCACCCTTTTTCTCTCTTTCTTTCTTTCTCTCTATCTCTTCTAACTTTAATCGTGCACTGTAAGGACCTTGAAGGTCGTCAGTCTTTATTCTGCCTAAATAAATTAAAAAAAATATTTTAAAAAATATTACGTAATGTGTAAGAACGATTCAGATTTCGAGCGCTTTTTTAAAAGCTAGCACACTTTTGCTGCAAACATTATACAAAAAAAACACTCATTGATTCAAATTACAATATGAACAACATGTCCGACAACGACGATATCATTGAAATTAATGAACCTGCTGCTACTGCTGATGGTATGTATTTAGGAAGAGTCCAGGCTTTAGTACGTTTCGACGTGAGTATTCCTGGTGACGTATCTAAGTTAGTAAGAGGACCATCATTCCCTCCCCTCTTAGAGCCAGAGAGTCGCTTCGGTTTGAAATGGATTGCCACCGTCGTGCTTTCCGCAACAAACCGAGACACTTTCAAACTCCACGAGTGCGAACGGAAACATCAAGGGATCTGGATACCGTGCGGCGATTCCTTCTTTAGTGGTGGTAATAAGCGTACGGTAGTCCAGACGTTAGGGGACTTGGTTCGATCGAAAAAGGCGAGATCACTAGAGAGTAGTGTCATCTCGTCTGGAAGCATTCAACAATCTAGTGGCCTAGCTCAGGTACGAAAGAGAAAAAGAGACGGACAGGAGGAATGTAATAGGGGAACAGCAGGAATGGGAAGGAGAGAGGGACAAGTCCTGGCCCGACTAGTACTTCACCAGCAACGGTAGCACTACGAAGAGTGGTGACGGCGGCCAGAAAACTAACATCAATGGACGCAAAAGTATACCAAATGTGGCAGCCAGACGAGAACCATACCGTACACCCAACATAACACCGGTGTTTAATACGATGCCAGCACCATCAAGTAGCATCAATGATTGTGGTGGTACTACAGACGATCGTAGACGTGGTGTTCAAGACGGTGAACGTAATAATAACGAAGGTGTATTTTCTTTTGACATATTTATTCGTTCATTTTCTTCTCACTTATTCTTATGAATCAAAATGTTTCTGTATAGCTCTCAAAAATATTTTTAACCTAATGATCATATTGCATTACACTAAAATTGTTAATAATATATTTAGTTTAATTTGTTTTAATAATTAAAATGTTGATAATTAAAGTTCGTCTCATAACATTTGATTGTATTTAAACAGAAACACTATTTTAAAATATTTCAATATTTATAATTTAGAAAAGATAATGGCTTTTCTTTTCTTTCAACTCATTTTCCATTAAACAGTTCTTCCAATAGAAGATGAGCTATATTCTTTTTCTCATAAAGAGTCTAGCAGAAATAAATTGTTTGCTTGATTGCTTGTCTATCCGCAAGGTAAAAAAAACACCGAAAATTGATTTTCTGGAAAAGACATTTCTAGAGGTATTTCGATACAGGGACTTCGACTCTGATGTTAATTTTTTTAAAAAAAGTATTTTTTTTTAATGGCTCTTTTCGTTCTTTTTATTTTTAGAGATGATACATACATGATTGAAATATTTCATTTTAGATCATCTAACGTTGTAATAATATTTATTACTATGTTCAATATTACTGTGGAAACAGATTACATATGTTGTTGGAAAATGACACCTGAATATTTTTGTGACGAAGAGGTATATTGTGTTGTCGTTGTTTTAATAGTGAAATATATTATGCATTGATGATAGAAATAGTTGCATGTGTTTTAGAATAACATCATAATAATGATATACATATAATGTAACTCGCTTGATTATGTTCTATTTCCTCTTTTTTATTATACATTAAAAAATGACTATCACTTATACGATGCACCCACATAGTGAAAGAATTTTTCCTTTGAATCCGAGCGATATGAATCCGTGTTCTAGAATTTCAGGTTCCAAACATTTTCGAAAAACACAGTATGTTGACTCTTTAATTACATAAATCGTATACATATACGTGCTTATAATATTTGTGTGACTAATATTATCTATATTTGCTAATAATTACTGGTTGTCTTTTATCAGTTTATAATGTATACGTTCTATACAAACTGATAAAGCTAACTTTCGTTTAGCTATTTACTAATTAAAAGTGATACGAGGGATTATCGAAAGCTTCAGTAGTTAAGAAGAAAGTTTCATCGGCTCATCCCGTTCTGAAAATCTACTTCAACTGAGCAAAAATTATCATATTTCTTTTATATTACTAGCCTCCATTGACAAAGAATGAAAAATGCAAAAGTATTGGTTTCTATTGTTTCTTAATTTCAATTCTACTTTTCGGCTCTGGTTGTTTTTTCTGGTTTGGTATAAAGTTTTGGGTAAGAAATTACAATTATCTTTTCCATTTAAACATTTCAACGAAAGATGTTTTCCTTTTAGACTATATATTCCTCCATCGGACCTGCGTTATTTTTATTTGGT